ACTAATAAATAAGATGATGCTGGAGGATTACAGGAAAAAAAGGTAGAAATATCAGCACAGCTTGGATAGATAATCATAAAGCCTTTTACAGTGTGCCACACTCTTGGATTCTTTAAGGCTTTAGAAATGTCTCCTCGGTGATAGCAATTTTCCTTAAATATAGCATGGAACTTTGTAAAACCACATTATACCTAAATTAATCAAAGGCACTGCCACATCCATTTGTTTGAATATCCGACAAGGAATCTTTGAAGGAGGCTCCCTGTCGTCCTTTCTATTCTGTCTGTGCTTAATCCAACTTTCACAAGAACTAAACTGTAATAAATATGGATACTAAATAATAAAAAAGAAAGTGTTTAATTACCATTTCTAAAGACGACAATAATTTGAAGGGTCTCCTCAATCCTGTAAAATGTTTCAATGATGACATCGGGGTGGATTTCGGATTAGTTAAATGTGAAAATTGAACGTTGAAGAAAGGGAGAATTTACAGAAACACACTTAATAGATCTAGATTTTGTCACAAAGATTACATAACTGGAAGAAGAAGAAAAAGATGAATGAAAAGAATAAAAAGAAGAAGAAGAAACGATAATAGCTATGGATACAAAGTAAACAAGAAAATATTCAATCACCTACTCTACACGCCAAAGGCGACAATAATTTGAAGGGTATCCTCAGTATTGTAAAATGTTTCATTGATGACATCGGTATGGACTTCGGATTAGATAAATGTGCAAAAGTAACATTCAAGAAAGTGAGAATCACAGAAACACCCTCAATAGGTCTCGATTTTGTCACAAAGTTTAGGGAACTGGAACAAGAAGAAGCTTATATCCGGTCATCCCATAAGTTCTGTCCGAATTTTAACTTTTTGTTAAAATGAACGAAATTTAAAGAGTATTTTATAATGTCTAATGGAGCTGAACATTATTTTTATGTTTAGATGCATGTAAACTGATCAAATTTTATTTCATTAAAACCCTGCTAACATGGAAGTATCCAAGAATCATTTGAGGCACATAATGCTTTATGAGTTCAAGAAAGGAAACTCAGCAGCCGAAGCGGCTAGAAAACATTCACTCAGTTTATGGAGAGGAATGTGTGAATGAAAGAACTTGCAGAAGATGGTTTGCAAAATTCAGAGGTGGAGATTTCACACTTGAAGATGAAGATCGAACCGGACGTCCAGTTGAGTTTGATGAAAAGCTTCTTGAAGCAGCCCTTGAAGAAAATCCTGCTTTATCAGTTAAGATATTGGCAGTGGTTCTCAGTTCAAACCATACAACTGTTCATCGTCATCTTCAAAAACTTGGAAAAGTTCCTAAACTTGGAAAATGGGTGCCTCATGAATTGTCTGAAAACAATCTCAAATCCGAGTTGACATCTGCTCTTCTCTCCATTCTTGCCAACTTGTTTCACCTTTTTTGGATAGACTTGTGACTGGCGACGAAAAATGGATCTTTTATCGAAATGTTAAGCGTCGTAGACAGTGGCTTGGTAAAGGGGAAGGACTCCAGCCACAGCCGAGAAGGGAACTTCATGGGCAAAAGGTTCTTCTTTCAATCTGGTGGGATCGCCAAGGAATAATCCACTTTGAATTCTTGCCACCTAATGCAACAATTAATGCTCAAATATACTGTCAGTAATTAGAGCGTTAGAACCAAGCTTTGAGGAAAAAAGACCTGCTCTAGTGAATCATCAGGACAATGCGCGACCCCACACAGCAAGAATCACGTCACAAAAGATCGAAGAACTTGGTTGGGAGAAAATTCCTCATCCACCTTATTCTCCCGATCTTGCTCCTTCAGACTACCATTTGTTTCATAGCTTACAGAATCATTTGGAAGAAACAGCTTTTGTAACACAGAAAGAGGTTAAAACTGACATTTGTGAGTTCTTCGAATCAAAGCCAAAAGAATTTTACTGTAATGGAATTAGTAAGCTTGTTAATAGATGGAAGGAAGTCATAGATAATCAGGGAAAATACATTGTGAATTGAATCTGTAATTAAATGTAACATTTGGTCACTTGTTTTCTTTATTCAAAATTCGGACAGAACTTATGGGATGACCTGATAAATACCTAGGAGTCAGCGAAGATAGACAACAGCATGCCCAAATGAAGACGAGAGAAAAAAAAAGAAAAAGGAAAGAATACTACAGGCGTGTGTGTCTGTTGTTAAATACCAACTTGAATTCACAAAACAGAATATCAGCCATAAACAGATTGGCTGTCCCTGTGGTGCAATAAAGCTTCGACATCTTTAATTGGACCATAGCTGACATTAAGCGAATGAATGTTAAAACGAGAAAGCTTCTCACTTGTCACCGCATGCATCATCCTGAGGCTGATGTTTATCGTCTGTATGTGTCCAGATCCGAATGAGGCAGAGGATTAGTTCAACTAGAACTACCTTACAAAAACCACAAAAATTGGTCTTCAAAGATATCTGAAAACTGCAGACTGGATGATGATCAGTGTCAAAGAACATGAAAGAAACTTTATTCAGTAATAAAGGAAGCCAACAAATTCAAAAAAGGAATTTCAAGTGGGTGAAGAAGTTCAAATAAACCATTATACACTTACTGCAGCAGGAAAAAAACCTAAAAAAAGCAAAAGCAAATGCAATGTACTAAATGCAAAAACGATGGCAAGATAATTCATGCTCAATACTCTGCCGTACCAAACGAGCTGATCTAGACAAACTCCTTACCCACCAGTGGTTACGTAGAGCAGGGTTAAAAGCTGAAACTGATGGTTTTATTCTTGCTTCACAGGACCAATGTTTGCTAACTAGAAATTATCAAACACACATACTGAAAAATTCTGTTAACTCGAAATGCAGATTCTGTGATAAATTTCCAGAAACAATTGACCATCTTGTATGAAGTTGCACGGTTTTAGCATCTACTGAATATAAAACCCGGCATGACAGAGTGGGTCAATATCTGCTTTGGAAAACCTGCAACTTTTATGGGAAGAAAACCGTAAGAAACTGTTATGAAAATCACCTCGACCAGGTTACAGAGATAGGACCCGTAACAATTTTATGGGACTTTACAATAAATTATGTACATTATTTGGACTAATGTCCTCATCTTTGTCGCCATATTTATTACAACATTTCGGCCGTTGTACGCTCCGACCTTCGTCAGGTGGTTGGAATGTCGAACTGAACCCTTTATTTCGCTCACTGGGGTAGACTGTTCTAGTTCCACGTGCCATGTTTAATGGATGTCAGTTAACAGTTATCTCCTGTTAATTTTCCCTCTAAAAGTTCTCCACTGCCTTAACCGGGTATTGAACTCACACTCTTTCGGTCCTGTCACTGGATCTAACAGCCTTTATCTGCTGTGCCATGTGTCCTTGACAGTGGATAAAGTAATAAATATGGCGACAAAGATGAGGACAATAGTCCGAATAATGTAAATAATGTACCTATCTAAAGATATGAAATTATGGAAAATGAACGTGGGAGTTGCCTACCTCATAACTGGGGAACGATGGAACAGTCGTGAAGCGGCTTGCCTAGAGGTGTGAAGAAGGTGGCAAAAACTGCAAAAAAAGCATTGCTAAAAAACAGAATACTCTGAAGAGGGTTGGTGTTTTGTGGATACTTGCTGTCTCTTGATTTTCATTGAAAGACACTTGATACTACTGGCATAGGAATACAGCGAGTACGTATATAGTAATAGTGGTACGATTTAATAATAATAATAATAATAAAGAGCGGGAGGAGAAATGTAAGGGCGGAAGCAAGAAAAGTAAATATAAAAAACGAAAAGGTTGAACAAATAAATGCAAGTCAAAATGGCGTCGGCCGGTGTCTGTCGGTACGCAAGGAAATAAAGATGTCGGCGATTAGCCGAACGCTGCCTTTTAGCCCTCGAACAAGTCAAGCGCTTAAAGTTGTGTCGGCCATGTTTAATTTCAAGATGCAGTGAATTGGGATAAAAAAAAGAAAAGAAAAAAAGAAAAAAAGAAAGAAAGAAAGGTAAGGAGAAATTGTGGAAAACGGAGGCAGGGAAACTACGTAAAGAGGGAGGCGGAGAAGCCGAAGAAATCATTGTCAGCGTCCGCGTCGCCGTCTTCATCGAAAGCGGCAACATTGGTCCTTTTAAAATTACTTTTCGGTCTTTGCCGTACTTTTCATCTGGGAAACCCTGTCAGTTTCTTTTTTCATTTTTTAAAATTTTACGTTTATTTATATATATATATATATATATATATATATATATATATATATATATATATATATATAAATCATTTTTCGATTCCACTGATTGCATTCCTTTGTACTTTAAACCTTTTTTCTTTGCATGTTCTTAAATTTTTGTTTCTAAAAAACAAAACAAAACAAAAAAATAATAAAATAAAATGATTCTGCCGAGAAGGTATGCGGTTTTTATTTTAGTTGTCGCTTTCTTTCTTTATTATAAATTATGTGTTCATCATCTTTGTTTTTCATCTTTCATCCTTCAATTGGCAAACGTTTATTCAGCATTTTATGTTATAGTTTCTTTCATTCTTTCTTTCTTTCTTTCTTTCTTTCGTTTTTCAACATGTCTACTGTGTATGTCTTTCTTTCTTACATTATACCTACTGCATTTGGGCATCTCGAGGCGGTGTAATTGTTAACAAGCGTGTCTCGCTAGAACAATTGCGACTGAGTGGTGAGTTCGATCGTCACAACCGTGCCCCCTACTTTCGGCCTTGTGCCACGTCTAAATTCTCCTTGGAAAACCTCTATATCTACTTATTTCCTTTTCTATCTTTCTTTTCAACATGCCTTCAATTTCACGTCGTTCACTTTCTTTCTTTCTTTTTCAACATGCCGACTACTATGTGTTCACTTTCTTTATTTCGTTCAGCATACCTACTTGCTTTATTCCCTTCATTTTTCGACCTGCCTTCACTTTCAGGTTTACTTTCTTTCTTTTTTCTTTCTTTCGATATACCTACTGTATCATTTTTTTCCTTCTTTCAATATGGGTGCTATGTGTTCACTTTCGTTTCTTTTTTTCCTTCTTTCTTTCTTTCTTTCTTTCTTTCTTTCTTTCTTTCTTTCTTTCTTTTTTTTCAGCATACCCACGTTCTTTTTTCTTTCATTCAGCATACCGACAATATTTTCTTTCTTTCTTTCTTTCTTTCTTTCTTTCTTTCTTTCAACATGCGTACTATGTGGTCACTTCTTTCTTTCTTTCTTTCTTTCTTTCTTTCTTTCTTTCTTTCTTTCTTTCAACATGCGTACTATGTAGTCATTTCTTTCTTTCTTTCTTTCTTTCTTTCTTTCTTTCAGCATACCCACGTTCTTTTTTCTTTCATTCAGCATACCGACAATATTTTCTTTCTTTCTTTCTTCCTTTCTTTCTTTCTTTCTTTCTTTCTTTCTTTCTTTCTTTCTTTCTTTCAACATGCGTACTATGTGGTCACTTCTTTCTTTCTTTCTTTCTTTCTTTCTTTCTTTCAACTTGCGTACTATGTGGTCACTTCTTTCTTTCTTTCTTTCTTTCTTTCTTTCTTTCTTTCTTTCTTTCTTTAGCATACCTACGTTCTTTTTCTTTCATACAACATACCGACAATATTTTCTTTCTTTCTCTCTTTCTTTCTTTCTTTCTTTCTTTCTTTCAACATGCGTACTATGTAGTCACTTCTTTCTTTTTTTTCTTTTCTTTCTTTCTTTCTTTCTTTCTTTCTTTCAGCATACCTACGTTCTTTTTTCTTTCATTCAGCATACCGACAATATTTTTCTTTCTTTCTTTCTTCCTTTCTTTCTTTCTTTCTTTCTTTCTTTATTTCTTTCTTTTCTTTCTTTCTTTCTTTTCTTTGCTTACTATGTTTCAGCTTTCTTTCTTTCTTTCTTTTTTCTTTCATACCGACAATATTTTCTTATTTTCTTTCTTTCTTTTTCTTTCTTTCTTTTCTTTCAACATGCGTACTATGTAGTCACTTCTTTCTTTCTTTCTTTCTTTCTTTCTTTCTTTCTTTCTTTCTTTCAACATGCGTACTATGTATTTTCTTATTTTTCTTTCTTTCTTTCTTTCTTTCTTTTTTTTCAACATGCGTACTATGTGGTCACTTCTTTCTTTCTTTCTTTCTTTTTCTTTTCTTTCTTTCTTTCTTTCTTTCTTTTCTTTCTTTCAACACCGACAATATTTTCTTATTTTCTTTCTTTCTTTTTCTTTCTTTTTTTCTTTCTTTCTTTCTTTCAACATGCGTACTATGTAGTCTCTTCTTTCTTTCTTTCTTTCTTTCTTTCTTTCTTTCTTTCTTTCTTTCTTTCTTTCAACATGCGTACTATGTGGTCACTTCTTTCTTTCTTTCTTTCTTTCTTTCTTTCTTTCTTTCTTTCTTTCTTTCTTTCTTTCAGCATACCTACGTTCTTTTTTCTTTCATTCAGCATACCGACAATATTTTCTTTCTTTCTTTCTTTCTTTCTTTCTTTCTTTCTTTCTTTCTTTCTTTCTTTCTTTCAACATGCGTACTATGTAGTCACTTCTTTCTTTCTTTCTTTCTTTCTTTCTTTCTTTCTTTCTTTCTTTCAGCATACCTATGTTCTTTTTTCTTTCATTCAGCATACCGACAATATTTTTTTTCTTTCTTTCTTTCTTTCTTTCTTTCTTTCTTTCTTTCTTTCTTTCTTTCTTTCTTTCTTTCTTTCAACATGCGTACTATGTAGTCACTTCTTTCTTTCTTTCTTTCTTTCTTTCATACCGACAATATTTTCTTATTTTCTTTCTTTCTTTCTTTCTATCTTTCTTTCTTTCTTTCTTTCTTTCTTTCTTTCTTTCTTTCTTGCGTAACATGCGTACTCTTTCTTTCTTTTCTTTTCTTTCTTTTCTTTCTTTCTTTCAACATGCGTACTATGTGGTCACTTCTTTCTTTCTTCCTTTCTTTCTTTCTTTCTTTCTTTCTTTCTTTCTTTTATGTCTTTCTTTCTTTCTTTCAACATGCGTACTATGTGGTCACTTCTTTCTTTCTTTCTTTCTTTCTTTCTTTCTTTCTTTCTTTCTTTCTTTCATACCGACAATATTTTCTTATTTTCTTTCTTTTTTCTTTCTTTCTTTTCTTTTTTTCAACTTTGCGTACTATGTAGTCGTACTATTCTTTCTTTCTTTCTTTCTTTCTTTCTTTTCTTTTCTTTCTTTTTTCTTTCTTTCAACATGCGTACTATGTGGTCACTTTTTTTTTCTTTCTTTCTTTCTTTCTTTCTTTCTTTCTTTCTTTCTTTCTTTCTTATATTATTCCACTCGATGTAACTCTAATTACTTCATCGACATTTTTGTTTTTAAATTCATAAAAAAAAACACTACCGTCGCTGCTACCGTTGCGTTTTCCCCACCTCCTTTCTTCTTTCATTTAATATCTCCTGCTGCCCCAGCGATTCTCTTCCCTAAGGCCATTCCTTTTCCTTGCACCCACATGAAACCCCACCCAAAATTTCACTTGACCTTACTGACTCTTTCGGTTTTTATGTTTTTATATTTTTCTCATTCGGTTTGTTTATTCTTTATAATTCCACAAATATTTTTGAATTTGACATTCTTCTTCTTTTATGTGCCGTGTCCCCTCAAGGCGTAGGCGATCAAGGCCCTCCACGTCTTCCTGTACCTTGTTGCTTTTAATAAGTTTTCTCTTTTTGTTAATTTACCCAAATCCTGTTCTACCATCCGTTTACTCAGGCTCATCAAGTATGTTACACGCTGTTTTCTTTTGTCCCCCTTTCCTTCTATCTTTCATGTGAGGATCAAATTTTCCAAGCCTTCCTTTCTCATTACATGTTCCGGAAATTACAACTGTCTCTTCTTGGTGGTAAGTGTAAGTTTCCTCTTCGTTTCGATTCCCTCTAAAACCGCGTCGGAGCTCAAATGATACCCTCAGCATCTTTGTAGAGTCACATTTCTGTTGCTTCAAGTGTCTTCCTCATCTTTGAAGACATTGTCCAGCATTCGCTGCCATACAGGAGGACTGATATCACCTAACAGTTTAGGGCTATTTTCTTTGTTTCTAACCTGTTTCTAGCATTGTTTGTAATTTGACATTAGTATTAGCGCTTAAAGATGCGGAAAACCGCCGTGAAGTTTGTAGCGTTGGATTATAGACCACAGGTATTAATATTTGATGGTTAGAGCAGTGGAATGGAAACCACAAGGTCATGAAACCAAAACCTACTATGCATAGAAACCTGCTGGAAATACAGAATGATCAGAAAGGAACGCTTAATGAACAGAGCATTGGATTGAAGACCAGAAAAACGTAGAGGGTATCTGGCCAAAGATTAGAGTGTCGGTTGAAAAGGATTTGGAAATTTCAACGGGTAAAATGAACCATCAGGGTCTTCGGTTAGATTGGTTAATTAAACGACTCATGAACACTTTGTTAGTTTATTTGATGCTGAATGTGAAAAAAAAAAAAAAAAAAAAAAAAAAAACAAACAAACAAACGCGGGGCTGGCCCTACTACTCTCGAACCCACCGACCTGGATGGGGCCCGGATTTGATTGGGCGCCCTGGTGACCCTCCTTACCTTCTCAACAATTGCTTTTTTCTACCTACATTTATATACGTTACAAGTTATATATAAGCATATTATTATGTACATAACAAATTATATATCAGCATATTATTATATACGTTACAAATTATATATCAGCGATTTATATATTAGCATATTATTATATACGTTACAAATTATATATAAGCATATTATTATATACGTTATGATTTATATATTAGCATATTATTATATACGTTATTTATATAAGCATATTATTATATACGTTACAAATTATATATCAGCATAATATTATATACGTTACGATTTATATATTAGCATATTATATACGTTAAAAATTATATATAAGCATATTATTATATACGTTACGATTTTATATTAGCATATTATTATATACGTTACGATTTATATATCGGCATATTATTATATACGTTACAAATTATATATCAGCATAATATTATATACGTTACGATTTATATATTAGCATATTATTATATACGTTAAAAATTATATATAAGCATATTATTATATACGTTACGATTTATATATTAGCATATTATTATATACGTTACGATTTATATATCGGCATATTATTATATATGTTACAAATTATATATCAGCATAATATTATATACGTTACGATTTTATATATTAGCATATTATTATATACGTTAAAAATTATATATAAGCATATTATTATATACGTTACGATTTATATATTAGCATATTATTATATACGTTGATTTATATATCGGCATATTATTATATACGTTACAAATTATATATCAGCATAATATTATATACGTTACGATTTATATATTAGCATATTATTATATACGTTACAAATTATATATAAGCATATTATTATATACGTTACGATTTATATATTAGCATATTATTATATACGTTACGATTTATATATCGGCATATTATTATATACGTTACAAATTATATATCAGCATAATATTATATACGTTACGATTTATATATTAGCATATTTTTATATACGTTACAAATTATATATAAGCATATTATTATATACGTTACGATTTATATATTAGCATATTATTATATACGTTACGATTTATATATCGGCATATTATTATATACGTTACAAATGAAACTAAGCACATGTCACTATTAAAGGAAGAAAAAAATTTTGATGTAAGTATTTTTCTTGTCGTCTCAATGCATGAATTTGTTTTTTTTTATACAACAGATTAAACGCGACATTAGTCTGCTGTGCCCCGCCAGCCGTTTGCTTTACTCTTTGATCTGAAACTAATTGGCGTTTTTGGCGGAGAAGGGGCATATTCAACAAAAAATCGATAATTGCTTTTTCCCCTGCAAATTATTCATTATATCATATCCAAATATTTTAATAAAAATTAGAGCCAATTACACAATATTTCAATCTCAATTTAGGTTTATAGTTCATAACCATGCAATGAGATGAGGTTACATAAACCGTAGATTTGTGTGTAGAATATCATTACATTATTGTTACATAATTATAGTGAAATCATTAAGGTTTTTTGTCAAAAGCATTTTATTTTTGGTGGTATATTATTTTAAAATATTCCTTTTTACAGGCTTTATTTTTGAAATGGGATAAGATCATTCTAAATTTTGCTATTGCCCATCAAAATGACTGGAAGAAAGCGATCTAAAAACAACAATGGAAAAGTGAGCTAACAAAGCATAAACGAAATAGCTCCAGTTTGTTCAACTTAGGAAACTTAGCATTGCAGCCAAAGTATTCTAAAAATGCTGTCAATAACAAAGGAGAAAATGAAAAAAATACCTAACAACAAATCGAATATAGCATCAAAATTTATATTATTTTTTATTTATTTGTTATGTAACTAAATACATAATTGTCAACAATGTTTCCGTAAAACTTGATATTTCCTGTAAGAAATTCTTAATAGATATTATTATTGTTACTATTTTAGTTAAGTGTAAGGCAGTCCGACATTTACAATTCCTTATGGCTAACGATGAAAAGAAATTGATATGTCCCGGAAAGGAATATATTTGTTCGAAGTAGCAAAGTGGTTTTGGACTACTGTAACCGGGTAGGACAATCTAGCAGGTAACCGTAATTATTATTATTATTATTATAAATTGCTGTAAAGTAAGCATGTCACACTGAAGGGCCCGGATTATTGTTCTATCAGCGAAGTTAAGAAACATCGAAACGGAAATGCACAAGGAAAACCATGCTTTGTAAATATTGTATCATCTTGCCTTTGGGCTATTCGAAAACTGAGCGGCTAAAATAAAAAGTAAACCACAAATATCGATAATAAACAGAACATTGTTAGGGAAATCTTAGAAGTGTCTTCGACGTATCCTAGTTTCTTTAGCGCTTATAAAGTTGATATGTCCCGGAAAGGGATATATTTGTTCGAAGGAGCAAAGTGGTTTTGGACTACTGTAACCGGGTAGGACAATCTAGCAGGTAACCGTAATGGACTGGTCCTCGTCGTAGTGGTAGGCAATAGGCGTAGGCAATAGGCGTCCTCTTGTACCTCCACATCAGTCTGTATTTATGGCTGACACCAGCCAATCATGTTACCGTGAGGGGGAACCCAGGTGTGTGCATATTCATTACATCAATTAGGTCCAGTTTATCCTCGAGTGAAAAAATGTGGACATACGCCTGGTTTACCCAAGAATCAAAAAGGCGGACACAGGCGAGAATGTAACTGTAGGTTCGTTTTACACTAGAGTAAGAAATATAGGCATAGCTTTGGTTGACACTAGATAAAAAAAAAGAGATATTAGTCCGGCTTACACTGGAGACAAGAAGACAGTCGTCGTCCCGTTTACACGAGAGGTAGACGTAGGCCCGATTTGCACTTGATTTGAAAATTTAGACACAGACCGGTTTAAATTAGTGTCTAAAAGGTCTACCTCATCATCATTTATTCAGTTCGCGCATTCTGCCCCGCTGTGTTCTCCACTCTCCCCCATTTCACAATTGTGGTTTATGGTGACATTCAAGGCAGAATAGTACAATAGCTTGCTGGTTCCTTTTGCATGTTGAGTTTACCCCCGGTATCTCCTGACAGAAGTTAAAGAGGCAGGACCTATAAAGCAGAAGGTGGCTAGCATTCAGATTTTTCCTACTCCTGTAAGGCACACTCCACTGGGGAGAAGAGATGGGTTCTTACCTTTCTCAATTCACGTAACTGGATGCAATGAACTCGAGTGGAGTTCGAACACGGCTATCCGATACCTCAGTCCATGCCGCCATCACTGCGCCTCCACAAAAGGTCTGCACTAGAAGAAAAAGGGAGACCCAAGTCAGGTTTGCTCTAGAACCTAAAATATGTCTGGTTTACATTAGGGTGTAAAAAAAACTCTAGAACCTAAAATATGTCTGGTTTACATTAGGGCGTAAAAATCTCTAGAACTTAAAATATGTCTGGTTTACATTAGGGTGTAAAAAAAACCCAAAAAACTCTAGAACCTAAAATATGTCTGGTTTACCTTAGGGTGTAAAAAAAACCAAAAAAACTCTAGAACCTAAAATATATCTGGTTTACATTAGGGTGTAAAAAAACAAAAAACAAAAAAAAAAAAAAAAAAAAACAAAAAAAAAAAACGGTAGACATAAAAACGGTTGCAATAAAAAGCGACTAAATTTCTATTTGCATTTTGACGAGTCAAAATGCAAATAAAAATTTGGTCGCTTTTATACCCGTAAGCACTCGTATCAACTCGAAAGGTGGCCCCTTTTAGCTGACGATGTGGCGGGGGTTGATGTAGTCGTCAACGTATTCCAATCCCCGCTGACGGGACTGTTAGAGGATTTGTTTGGAGCCTTGTGATCCGGATTTGAATATTGGAAATTGGAATCAGTTGGAACGAAGAATCAAAAGCGTGACGACATCGATATCCTTAGTTCAACGACGAAGACTGCTCTGCCATTGCCTTGGATAAGTAATAGACCATTCCGCTTTGACAGTGAGGAGAGAAAAAATACCGGGTGTAACAGTAAAATTATCCAAATCGTGTAACAGCATAATTATATAATTATCCATCACACAAAATATTTAATATCTAAAAAAAAAAAAAAAACACACTAAATTAATTAAGTTTCTTTTTTCCTGGTTTTCAGATAAGCTGTTTAGCTATCTTGAGACCATTTTTCGTAAGAATCATTGAGTTATTCAGCTAGAAATGGAACAGGTTAAAACTGCTTTGTGTCAGACCTAATGTCTTCCCAAATGGGCAATGGTGAGAGGAAAAAGATAATTCAGGCCTTCAGTAATGGTACCAACATTCATACTCTGGCTTCCATCTTCAAAGTCTATTCAAGAACCATCAAGAGAACGGTGAATAAGTTTAAAAATGAGGGAACATTTGAACGGAAAACTGTCTCAGGAGCTCACAACAGCAAGAGGGATCATCATTGCATCTTAGATCTAAATACATTCTTATTGTTCAAAGTATAGTTCAATAGTGTTATAAAAAACCTCGGAGAATTCCAGTAAGATATCTTTAATCATTTCTAAGCTACAACGGTTCAGAGCTTAATCTAACAATTAAACAATTTTCTTATTACACCCGGTACATGTTGGGTTTATTTCAATGAAAGTTTCTTGTCAAGGATCCTTCTATATTACGTGTCATTTTCTTGATTCCAGGTACATATTTCTTTTTTTCAGGTTTTCACGTTTAGCTAACTTGACACAATTTGTCGTAAAAATCACGGGGAAACCATTTGAGTTATTCAGTTAGAACGAGAACAGGTTAAAATCGTCAATCCCACTGTCTTCCCAACCTGAGCAATGGTGAGAGGAAAAAGACCATTCACGTCTTCAGTAATGGTACCAACATTCATACTCTGGCTTCCATCTTCAAAGTTCATTCAAGAGCTATCAAGAGAACGGTGAATAAGTTTAAAAAAAGAGGGAACAGTAGAGAGGAAAACTGGATTAGGAGGTCACAACGGGAAGAGGGATCATCATTTCAATTTACAGCTAATTAAATCAATTAGAAAAGATCCAACTCAATCCATAAGACATTTGACACGTGAGAGAGGAATTTCAGCGATGACAGTCTAAAGAGCAATGAAAAAACACATGAAAATGTAATCGTAAGTGAAACCTGTGAGGCACCTTGTTACTCCAGGACAGAAAGTTAGAAGGTTAGAGAGGGCGAAGATCATCTTGAATAAGTTGGAAAATGATCTTGATATATATATGTATATATGAACTTTATTTCAGTCATTTATGAGCTTCTGATCCTTAGCTATGATTAATTAATGATGAATATGTCATTTTCGTTTATGATCAATTTCATCACGATTCTTCTGTTAAGCTTGAAGAGTAATTATATATTCTTATTGCCCAAAGTAGAGTTCAGTAGTGTTATAAAAACCTCGGAGAATTCCAGTAAGATATATTTAATCATTTCTAAGATACAACAGTTCAGAGCTTAATCTACCAATTGAACAATTTTGCTGTTACACAAGTTGGACAATTTGGGCCCGCTATATATATTTCAAAATCATTTCATCCCAATCAAGGCAGCTTTTGTAACACAGGAAGAGGTTAAAAGTGACATTTGTGAGTTCTTCGAATCAAAGCCAAAAGAATTTTACTGTAATGGAATTAGTAAGCTTGTTAATAAATGGAAGGAAGTCATAGATAATCAGGGAAAATACATTGTGGATTGAATCTGTAATTAAATGTAACATTTGGTCACTTGTTTTCTTTATTCAAAATTCGGACAGAACTTATGGGATGACCTGATATATTAGCGTAGAAAAGGACAAGCGAATCAGTGCAGAGCGGAAGTAAACTTTAAAATGCACCAGAAAACCAACCAGGAAACAAAGTTATTCTGTAAGCTACGAAACAAATGGTAGTCTGAAGGAGTAAGATCGGGAGAATAAGGTGGATGAGGAATTTTCTCCCAACCAAGTTCTTCGATCTTTTGTGACGTGATTCTTGCTGTGTCGGGTCGCGCATTGTCCTGATGAAACATCACCTTTTTTCGATTCACTAGAGCAGGTATTTTTTCCTCAAAGCTTGGTTCAAACGCTCTAATTGCTGACAGTATATTTGAGCATTAATTGTTGCATTAGGTGGCAAGAATTCAAAGTGGATTATTCCTTGGCGATCCCACCAGATTGAAAGAAGAACCCTTTGCCCATGAAGTTCCCGTCTCGGCTGTGGCTGGGGTCCTTCCCCTTTACCAAGCCACTGTCTACGACGCTTAACATTTCGATAAAAGATCCATTTTTCATCGCCAGTCACAAGTCTATCCCAAAAAGGTGAAACAAGTTCGCGAGAATGGAGAGAAGAGCAGATGTCAACTTGGGATTTGAGGTTGTTTTCAGACAATTCATGAAGCACCTATTTTCCAAGTTTAGGAACTTTTCCAAGTTGTTGAAGATGACGATGAACAGTTGTATGGTTTGAACTGAGAACCACTGCCAATTCGTCAACTGATAAAGCAGGATTATCTTCAATGGCTGCTTCAAGAAGCTTTTCATCAAACTCAACTGGACGTCCGGTTCGATCTTCATCTTCAAGTGTGAAATCTCCACCTCTGAATTTTGCAAACCATCTTCTGCAAAGTTCTTTCATTCACATTCCTCTCCATAAACTGAGTGAATGTTTCTAGCCGCTTCGGCTGCTGAGTTTCCTTTCTTGGACTCATAAAGCATCATGTGCCTTAAATGATTCTTGGGTACTTCCATGTTAGCAGGGTTTTAATGAAACAAAATTTAATTTTATTGTTCTCTGAAATAAAATGTGATAAGTTTAAATGCATCTAAACATAAAAATAATGTTCAGCTCCATTGACATTATAAAATACTCTTTAAATTTCGTTCATTTTAACAAAAAGTTAAAATTTGGACAGAATTTATGGGATGACCTGATAACACTACACGGTAACGCTATATCTTGAGTGACTCCTGGACCTTTTATTGGGTAAATATTCCTACAAAAACAGAACTGATGGTTCCATCTTGCTACTTCAGCAGTAAGACAGTGGGACCTAGTTGCCAATCTAGTGGCACGCTTGTATCCATGTAGTCGGGGTACCAGAAAGAAAAAAACTCGTTCAAGCAGTTACCATGAAAATATTTACAGAAAAGACAGACGGAAGCCACGTCACGTCGCTGGGAGAGTGAACTAAGTCAAGATGCCAGGTCAGGGTCGATTACATTAGAAACCGTTCTTTGAATTTTGTCAAGAACCTTGAGATGTATAGTTTAGACCAGATTATGTGGCAACAAGTATTCAATACACGGACAAATGGTAGGTTTATAGATGGATTCTGGCGCGATCTCATTCTATTCCTAATCTATATATCTATCTATTACAGTTTTGTTCCTTATCTATCTATCTATCTATCTATCTGTCACAGTCTGTTCATATCTATCTATCTATCTATCTATCACAGTCTGTTCATATCTATCTATCTATCTATCTATCTATCTATCTATCTATCTATCTATCTATCTATCTATCACAGTCTGTTCATATCTATCTATCTATCTATCTATCTATCTATCTATCTATCACTGTTCATCTCTCTCTCTCTCTCTCTCTCTCTCTCTCTCTATCTATCTATCTGTGTGCCAATTTATATACACATGTATTTATGCTGACATATGTATAAATTGCATATATGTAAGTGATTGGGCGTGTAAAATTACATGCATAATTGTGGATGTCTATTAAATAGTTATATATATATATATATATATATATATATATATATATATATATGTGTGTGTGTGTGTGTGTGTGTGTGTGTGTGTGTGTGTGTGTTGGCTTGCTTGATTATAGACTATGTTTTTGTGTAACAAATTTTAATAGAAATCATTTTTCTATTTTAATAGAAATTTTAATTTTTGCTTTTCTCTTTCCATGCCTCTCATTCTCTCTCTCTCTCTGTCACTTGTTCTTGCCGTTTCTTCTTCTTCTTCTTCTTCTTCTTCTTCTTCTTCTTCTTCTTCTTCTTCTTCTTCTTCTTCCGTTTTTTCTTTTTTGTTCTTCCTTCTTCATTTTTTTCTTTTTCTTTTTCATTTCTTTTCTCTGCTTCGTTTTTTATTTTGCTCCCTGCTTTTTCTTCCGTGTTTATTTCCTTTTTTTACTTTTTTATTTTGTTTTCACTTCCGCCATTTTAAATTTTACATCTCTGCTTTTTTTGACACTTTCTTCTTCATTCTTTCTTTTGTCTCTTTTTTTCATGTTTTCTTTCCTTTATTTTCATTTTCTTCTTCTTTTTCTCTCTCTTCTTCAATTTCTTTCTTCTTAATTTCTTCATTAATCTCTTTCTTCTTCATTTTTTTATTTGTTTTTTTTTCTTTTACCGCTTTCTCTTTAATTTCTTTATTTCTTTCTTTCGTCTCCATTTCTTCTTTTACATCTTTCTTCTTTATTTTTCAATTTTCACCTTTTTCATTTCTTCTTTTATCGCTTTCTTCTTAAATTTTTCTTTCACCTATTTTTTCATTAACCTGATTTTTCTTCTTCCTCTTCTTCTTCTTTCTTCTTCTTCCTCTTCTTCTTCTTTCTTCTTCTTCTTCTTCTACCGTTTCTTCTTCATTTTCTTCTTCTTTTTCCTCTTTCTCCTTTATTTCATTTATCTCTTTCTTTTTCATTTCTTAGTGTTAAATCTTTTCGTTTTTTTTCATCCCACTGGCTCCTTGGTTTTTTAACCACTCCTCCCCACTCCCCAGCCCCCTGTTTCTATCCAGATGAATTGTTTAACAATCCGACCGGCAATGAACTCCCTGCCATATACAGACACACGCTCGACTTGTTTGTCTTGACGATTAACGTGCATCAATTAATCACTATTTTATTAATTAAAACCCGCTTCGTTTCCTGCTGAAGTTTAGCAACGTGCTGGTGGCGAGGGAACGGCTCAGGGAAGCCATTAAATATATTTTTTTTTGTTTATTACTACACTGTGTAGAGGTGGGCGCCAGGTACCTCAATTATGTCACCGCTGTTTTTTTTTCTGTTCGCCTCCTTCATTTATTTGCTTGTTTAATTAACCTCTTCTATTTGTGCTTGTTGCTTTTGGCTCTTCTTTCTTTTTTAACTTATGAACGTACCACTGCGCCGCCTGCTTTGGATTTTCAGCTTATCGTTACAAGAGTTAGGCCCGCGGCCATCTTTAATAGCTACCTTACTTCTTTCCCGCCGTTCATCTGTCCTTCCATTAAGTTATATATATATATATATATATATATAGTCTTTATATATATATATATATATATATATATATATATATTTATGAAACTATATATATATATATAGTTCTTCCCCATGTATAACACGCATTTTTTTTTCCTAAAAATAACAAGCAAAATTAGGGGTGCGTATTATGCACAGCTACAAAAAAATCTTCAAAAAATTGCAGATTCATAGGTCGATTTCAGTTGCGAAATGACTACTCACCACAAACATATGACAATTTGACACTGACATTCGGCGATTGCGACCCCATAAGGATGTCAAATACAAGCACATGTACCTAACAATACTTACAAATCTAAAATAAAATGAGAATTATCGTAAAACTAAATTAGAATAATATTATTCTACGTTTAAAACATTTTTTGTGAAAAACTACATACAGATCAGGTAGACTGCACATTTTATCGAACAAAAAAAGGTTAATGAGTCTGCGCAGTAGGCACACTATACGTATTTCCGTTTCCTTTTAGAATCGTGATGATCAAAAATTTTGACAAATATTTTCAATTACAGCTTGAATAAGAGTAGGAAACGTTAACCGTAATGAAATTGAAGAGGTACAATTTATAGGGTTTGATTACCAATGAAGGGGTGCGTATTATACATGAGTAGAAGCATTTTCCCACACTTTCAGCACAATTTTAGAGGTGCATATTATGGATGAAGGCGTATTATACACGAGGAATAACGATATATACTTGCGATTAAGCTTTTTATTCAGTTTTTCTTTTTTTTTCACGTTATGTCTCTTTGACCATAGCTCAATTAGGAAGCCATTTAAACATTCACAAAAACCTACCACACTCCGTCCGCAACAGACCCGTAGAAAATGCGACTATAAATAACCTTATCCCCATATAAAGAAAAAAAGGTTAGAAAAAATGGAAGCATTAATAGTAAAAAAGAAAAAGCCAACGCACAGTAATATCAACTATGAACACGGCCACAACGTCCTGACCGTGTTTGGAAAATTAAAAAAAAACATTCCCATCACTACAGAACACTTATATAACAATCTAGATATTCAATTTTCTTTGTTTTTTTAAAATTAATTCCAAGAAAGGCAATAAAGCCACTAAGATGCAAGCATTTCCTGACAAACAAAAACACTATTAAGGAGAGAAAACAATAAAAGAAAATGAATTAAGAAGACAGACGATAACGATTGACATTGCATTTAAAATTTTGAAGATCAAAGTTGACAGGAAAGCAAGAAGCCGGAAGAGCGTTCCACAAGTGTGTAGTGCAATAGAAGAAACTTTTAGCATAGAACTTGCGGTTACATCTAGCCATTTCAACTGTAAAATGATGAGACCTAGCTGCCAATCTAGTACTGCGCTTAAATTCGTAATGTTGATGCACTAAAAACGAAAGTTCACCAGAACAAATAACAGGAAAATGTTTGTAGAAAAAGCACAAGGAAGCTCCGTTACGTCGGTGGGGGAAAGTAAGATGCCAGGTCAGGGTCAATAACATTGCAGATTTTTCCTTAGATTTTATCAAGAATTTCTAAATATATAACAGGGGCACCAGACCAGGTTTTGGCAGCAAAGGTCGAATGGTAGACTTATGTAAGATAGATTCTGGCGAGATAAAAAAAAATGTCTAGCATGACACAGGGAGCCAACTAAGAATAAAAAAAAACAAACTTATAAATGATGGATGGTGGAATAGCCGAAAGCGCTAGGTATAGAGAACATTTGAACTGTTTCTACACACTTTACGTCCAGAAAAGTGAATACATGTATTGGAGCAAGAAAAATTGAATAAAAATACATGTCAGTCGTCTGAGGAAACTTGTATAAAAAGAAAATTGAACAATTATATATATAAAATATATATATATATAATTAATCCTTGTGCCGGATCGTCATCATACACAGGACTGGCGTGAAAAAAATATATATATATATATATATGAATATATATATATGTCATGGGTCCTTACCTATAACTACAAAATTAACTCTGCCTAACAATGTATACTACGCCTCTCAAGAGAGAGAGGGGACGAATCGAGTCGAGCTTTTTGGCCGACTCTCTGCCTCTGAGCAGAGAGAGGCTCCGGAAGAGTCTCGTTCGGGAGTTAAATCCTACGGGTCCTACGGGCATTTTTGCCAGTCTACGGGCTCGAGGAAACCCACGTTAAACTCGGCCTTGTCGCAACCCTCGTGGGGGTGGCTAGATACCGAATCGAGTCGAGCCGATAGTCGTTCACTCCAAACCAGACTGACAGTCATACTAACACCTTCCACCTCTTGTATTATTATTTTCGTTTAATATACCTTCGTTATTTCTACTCTTGTGTTCATTTTGTTCTTCCTTGGCCCTAACCTGGACCATAACAATATATCTCGTCATTTTCCACACCCAGGACTGGCATGTGGAAAATGACGATATATATATATATATATATATTTATCGTCTTTTTCCACACGTCATTCCTGGGTATGACGATAAACTACATCTGGCAGCAAGGCCTCTTCTCGGGAGTTTGGAGGTTTTGAGGAGCGTGGAACCACCTTTTAATTGCTGTTGTTCCCAGGTTCAGCTGTTAGGGTCCAAGCTATGGGCAAATAGTGACCCCACCCCAAATAAAAAAAAAGCAAAAAACAACAGTATATTTTTATAATAAGTAACAATACATTTTTATATTAAAATGACAATCAATGCAGCACTCAAAACATATGAAAAATACATTTTTTATATTAAAATTACCAAACATATATTTTGTGATCTATAAATTATAAAAAAATAGCCTTACCCTGAAAAAAGTATAAACTTACCTTCAAAATATTTAGATTTCGGCATTAAATAACCCATAAAGTTTGATGTGTCGCTAAAGAAAGTCAACCAACCAACAATACTTGCTGATAATAAAATGAACAATAATACATTTTCCCTGTCGTTAAAGTCATACAATTGCGTCCAAAATAAATTTAGTTGAAGCCATAAAATAATTAGATTTCGGCATTAAATAACCCATAGAGGTGTTGATATGCCGCTAAGCAAAACAACCAACCAACCAGTTATGAGTTAAATCGTTTGGTTTGGCTTACGGCATGTCAACCTCAATGGCTTATTTAATGTCGACAAGATTTATGGCTGGTAATATTTTTTTCAAAGGTACTGCTGCTAAATATTTTTTCCTTCAAAAATCTATTTCTGGTAATATTTTTCCTTCAAAAAATGTATCGCTTGTAATTTCTTTTTTCAAAAAAGTATAGCTGCTAATATTTTTTTTTCAAAATTGTATTCGTGCTAATATTTCTTTCTTCAAAAATGTATTGCCTGTATTAAAATCTATTTTTACACTTTCATAGTGTTTTAACCCCAGTTTGGTGTTAACTATTTGCCCATAGTTAGGACCCTTACAGGTGCTACCACCCCGGGTCAGGGTGGACCTGTGAACACCAGCACTTAAAAGGTGGTTCCACGCTTCTCAAAACCTCTTGATCAGAGGCCTTGTTTTTGGGTGTCGTTTATCGTCTTACCCAGGAAGTGGATGTAGTTTATCGTTTTACCCTGGACGCGGATGTAGTTTATTGTCTTACCCGGGACGCGGATGTCGTTTATTGTCTTACTCGGGACGCGGATGTCGTTTATTGTCTTACCCGGGACGCGGATGTAGTTTATTGTCTTACCCGGGACGCGGATGTAGTTTATTTATGTAGTCTATAAAGCCTTCCCATATTCTGACAGCCTATATATAAATATTAGCGTTTCTTGAAAATATCTTGTGGAAATAACCTTGTTATAATCATAGACAAAAATGAATAAACATTATTGATTTAATATATAAATAAGAATTACTAAAGTAAAATTATTATCTAGACATTTTAAACCGTTTTCACTTTAATATTTTCCCTACGATAAAAATTATCAGTAACTTCGTTGCAAAGACTCTGGCTTCCAGCAAATTGGATACAGTAGCTAATGACTGCTAGATGATACGCGTAATGCGTAATGCCTGACTTTAGTCATTTAAGAAATTTCTCTGTATTTCGCTTGGAAGTGTCAGATCATTTCACTGAAAAGGGATTATTGCATACTGAATTTTTGCGTATCCGTTTTTCTAAAGAACAATGCCCTCTTCGGCGAAGTAAATTACTGTTTACAATAAAACGGGTCGTCTACTCAAATATGGCCATCCACTAAAAATAACGTTTAAGAGGTCTTTTATTGATCGTTTATTTGATCTATACTTGGTCCCAAATGATTAT